GCCCCCCTCCAAGGCGCGCCCCGGGCCCCACCTCCCGCGGAGTCGCCCTGGCGCCGCTGGGGGCGAGGGTGCCTGGCCGCAGCGAGTCGGAGATAGAGGGACAGGGAGACGGAGGCAGAGGGAGATAAGAGACGGAGACAAAAGGCGGGAAGAACTCGATCGAGGGACCGAGAGGCAGAGACAGAGACACACATAGCCAGGAAAGAGGGACATACAGAGACGGCGAGAGACAGAGACAGAGAGACAAGGCCAAGTCCGAGAAAGAAGCCTAGAGAGTCAGAGCTGGAGACACACACACACGGGCTCTCATATGCCGCACCTGGGCTGTGAGGATGGCTTCATGTATGTGGGTGTCCAGTTCTCCTTCATAGCCTTGAATGTAGCTCTCCAACCTAGAGGCACCGGCCCCTCAAACCTGTCGCCTTCCGCTGTTCTAGCTCAGCGCCACCTCCCAGGGATGTCCTTTCCACAGGCGGCGATTCCTTCCCCAGACCCTGCCCAGCAACAGGCCTGAACTTTCAGCCAGAGGGGCTCCTTTCCCTGACTGCAAGGGGAAACCTTGGCCCCAAGACCCTGTGCCCTCGGGGACTCTGGGATTGGCCTCAAGACACACTGACCAAATATCCCAGGGAGGAGGGATAAGATGGGAAATGGGACAGAGGCAGGGGGCTGGCCAGGTTGACCCAGAGAAGTGTGTCCGCTGTTTTCCTCTGCCCCCGCTCAGTCAGGTCCACTGCCCCACAGAAGACCCTGAGTGGAATTATACCATCACAACTCATCAGGGATGGTGTCTGCCCATTCTGATGCTTGTGAGAGAACAGAGTAGGGGAAGGTGAATGGTCCCACACTCTCCTGGCAGATGGTGTCACAGGCAGATGGATGTGGGTGACAGTCTACAAGCCTGGCCTGGGAACTTGGTTATTGCAACATGGGGGACCTGATCTTTTAGGAGCCCTGGGACAAAAGAGACACAGCCTTGACCTGAGTGTTTGAAGAGGGCACAGTCCACCCCCAGGAACCCCCATCTGAATGGAGGAGTAATGTGACCTTGGGTGGCTGGGTATGGATACACATCCACCCTGGCATCCCTAGCTCTGCTGAAGGCTTCAGAACAGACTTTTGGCTGCTTCCATTTATGTGTATTGAAAAATTGCAGCTAAAATTAACTCAGCCCCAGGGCCCGCCTTTCCAGATCATTAGCAAAGTTCATCAGTGCTCCTGGCAGAGTGCAGCAGATCCTGGTCACTCAGACACTCAGATACTCAGATAAAGGATGCAGAAGCTTCAGAGATGCTACAGAGGTGCTGGAGGCTGAGAAAAGACCTGGAGATGATCTCAAGAGTAATAATTTAGTGGAACTGGTTGATTTGTGGGGGTGAGCCCAGGAAACAGGGACAAGAGAGAGGGAAGAGTGAATCTAATGAGAAAGAAAGCTAACAGAGGAGGAGCAGGGTACCTCAGTGGGTGACTGGGGCTCACTTCTGCTGGAGAACTTTAAAGAATCCCGGAGAACACATCAGAATTGTTCCCCTGCTCCTCACAGCAAAGTTCAGAGAGGCTGGAGCATTCAACCACCAGTTCGACCTCACTGGGTGATAGTTGAGCTATGAGGGAAAGGACTGGTACTGAGCGCTATCTAAGATCTGAAGTAGAAAAGCCGAGAGGAGTTGGGCTCGGTGGCTCAACCTGTAATCCCGCGCCTTTGGGAGGCTGAGGTGAGGGGATTGCCTGAGCCCAAGGGTTTGAGACCCGCCTGGGCAACTTGGCGAGACCTCATCTCTACAATAAATAAAAAATGAGCCAGGCGTGGTAGTGCGTGCCTGTAATTCCAGCTACTTGGAAGGCTAAGGCGGAAGCATCGCCGGAGCCCAGCAGGTCGAGGCTGCGGTGGCCGGGAGCAGCCACTGCACTCCAGTCTGGGCGACAGAGTGAGACTCCAACTCAAAAAAAAAAAAAAAAAAAAAGAAAAGAAAAGTCGAGAGGGATGCCTTGCAGGAGCTGGACCTCCTAGTGTAGCATCAGGATCATGTAGTGGTTTGTTGATGGTAGATTCCAGCTCCCAACTCTAGAGTTTCTGGCTCAGTAGGTCTGAGGTGAGGCCCACATTTTTGTTTTGTTGTTGTTTTTTTGAGTCAGACTCTCATTCTGTCACCCAGGTTGGAGTGCAGTGGCACATTCACAACCACTGCAGCCTTGACCTGCTGGACTCAGGCAATCCTGCCACCTCAGCCTTCCAACTAGCTGGAACCACAGGTGTTTGCCACTACGCCCAGCTAATTTTTTTATTTATTGTAGGGACAAGAGGTCACTAAGTTGCCCAGGCTGGTCTCGAACACCTGGGTTCAGGCAATCCCCTAGCCTCCCCTCCCAAAGTGTTGAATTACAGGCATGAGCCACTGCACCCTGCGAAATATTTGCATTGTTAACAAGTTTCCAGGTGATGCACATGCTGCTGACTCAGAGACCACACTTTGAGAACCACTATGCTAAACTAGCGCTATCTACACCTGGAACTATCCACCACAGCTGTGCTAAAACCTGAGGAGTTGAGGGGATAGAGCACTCCAAATGGGTGCCAAAGAGACCAACATACTTAGAGACATAAAGAGAAAGTCAGAAATAGAGAGGCAGAGGCAGAGGTGCTGTGGTTATTCAACATTTACTGGCTGTATGCTAGATGACACTACAGTGAATGTAGTGTCCAAGACAGCCCAGGTCCTGCCTTTACTGAACTCACACTTCAAAAGGGAGAAAATCATATCTCCAGACACCCCAGAGTGCTCAGAGCTGGGATGGGAAAAGCACAGGCTAGACTGGTTGGGACTGTCATGAGGGAAGCCCAGGCCATCGTGGTCAGGGTTGTGATCAGAAAAGCAAAGAGTGAAACAATAAGAGCTGCAATGACAGAGCACAGGCCAGAGTGGTCAAGGCTCTGATGGGGGAAGCAGAGGCGGGGTGTGGAGCCCCACAGACAGCCCAATCCCTCCTTGCCACCCCAAGCCTGGGAGGCATCCCCGAATAGAGGACCATTAAGCTGAGACCTGGAGAAGCACAGAGATGCAGGTGGGCAAAGGGGCCCCATTATGCTATTTGTGTGCAGCTGCCTGTGCCTTCGTGCCATCGCATGTGCAACCTGGGGGTCCCTGAGTTGCCTGGATGGTACCGTGTGTGTGTGTGTGTGTGTGTGTGTGTGTTTTCTCTGTAACCCTTCATTAGTTCATTAGCTCCTGGGGGATGGTTGTCTGGGGAACTCTGATTAATTGCTGCACTTACTTAATTGCAACATCTGGAGAATGGGGCAGAAGCAGTGGAAACAGCCACAGCACAAAGAATGAGGTTAAAATTGCCTAGAAGTGAAGAGGCCTTGGAGGAAAGGGACTGCTCATAACTACCCACGGTCCAATATGCACAGAATATGCCTGAATATACATAGACACACATGAGGACATGCCCATATCACACATACCCCGAGGCTTCCTAGAATATACACATCCAGGCACATGGAACACACATACGCCTGGACTCGTGTTCAAACACAGGACATACACGTACATAGGCACACTCTTAGATACACCTCTGAAACACACACAGCCTTGCATCAAGCATGGGAAAGGTCACATGTAAAAACAACACAGTCTCTCTTGCACACAGGTGCAAGTCATGCACTCATACATACAAAGAACACATTCAGAGAGTCGCATCAAATATCCACAAGGGATGGGTACACACATGCAAACATGCACATGTGTGCACCCTTAAACAGGTCACTGTGTAAAGGGATTTCAGCTCCTTACAAGTCAGGGGAGTTGTCAGAGCGAGGAGGGATGGCAGTGGTATCTTCCTATCTCTTGACTAGCATCCACCAATCCAAGTCCAAGTTCGCTGGAATTAGCTCAGCTTTGTAATTAGCACATTAATCAGTATGGAAGATTAGGGATTCTTTTTTTTTTTGAGTTGGAGTCTCACTCTGTCGCCCAGACTGGAGTGCAGTGGCCACTCCCGGCCACCGCAACCTCGACCTGCTGGGCTCGAACCCGCAGGATCAGGCAATTCACTCACCTCAGCCTCCCAAGGTGTGGGATTACAGGCTGAGCCACCGAGCCCAGCTAGGAATTCATTTTAAAAATCGGTCCCCAAAGTGCACTTCCACGTGATGGGGTCAAAAGAGAGGGGAAGGAAGACGGGTACACCTCCAACCATTTTAAAACAGACTAATGGATCCCAGGCAAGCACCAAATTCTATAGGGAAACCACAGAGACTCTGTGCCTGAGGTTCTGTTTAACAATGGAGGAAGACCTAAATACAATTTGCAGGGTCTGTTTGAATGCCTTCCAGCTGTCAACATGAAAGACAATTTCCATAAGAACATGGTTAAAAGTTTACATTTGTGTAAAGAATAAAGGGAAATATAAAAATAACACTTTTTTTGAGTTGTAGTCTCACTCTGTCCCCCAAGCTGGAGTGCAGTGGCATGCTCATGGCCACTGCAGCCTCAACCTGCTGGGCTCCGGTGATCCTTCCACCTTAGCCTCCAAGTAGCACTACCATGCCCAGGCTAATTTTTGATTTATTGCAGAGAC